CAGGGATGAGCCAATGCGCCGAGACCTGCGGGCCTGCGAGGCGCGCGCGTGCGAGGAGACGGCAGGCGATTGCCATGTTTGATCAGCCCCGGCTGCAGGCGCCGCGCCGCTTGCACAAGGGCTGGTGTTGGTCGGCACTGAGCTGGACATGGCTGAAGCTGGTGCCGAGCGGCACAGAACAGTGGCAGAGGAATGGAAGCCAGGGGGGGCGGTGACCAGCCCAGGGGACCAAGGTGCGGTCCAAGGACGGGTCAAAGCGCCGAGACCTGTGGGCCTGCGAGGCGCGGGCGGGATGGGCGGAAAGCAGGCAGTGGTACCGCGCAGAGCGGTGCAGAGCAGAACGGGAGCGGCCAAAGGGCGGCGGAAGGGAGGGAAAGACGAGCGCCCAGAACCTCGACCCGCGCCGACGGGAAGGCACCCCGACGCCGGCAACGGCGGGGTGCGCCGAGACCAGGCAGACTTAGGAAACCGTGGAAAGAGGGGCGGCCCGGCGGGTCGCGGCGCGGCACCCAGGACAAAGAGAAGGAATAGGGCACCGCCAAGTGTCAGGAGGGAGAAAGACACAGACACAACTATTCGTCGATTCCCCCGAAAATATGTGAAAATATGGGTAGTGGGGGGGAAGACAAACAACCCAAAAATACAGGAACAGATTGGGAATCCTGTCATTTGTGTGTATTTATTTGTGTGTCCCAGGGCCCCTTCAAAGTGGGGGACGGCGGGCCCAGGGCAGGCAGAACGAAGGGGGGAGGGGCGACGGTGCCGAAGGCCAGCCGGCAACGGGCAGGAAGGCCGCGCCCAGAGGGGGGCGGCGAGCCAAGGGGCAGAGAGCCGACTGTGCGGTAGCCGACGTCGGCGAGGTGCCTAGGAGGCGACAGCGGCAAGACACCCGCAGCCGGTGTTGGGGAGGTGGCATAAAAAACCATGCAGAAGGGGGGGGGACAGAGGCACCGAAGCGAGTGTCGCCCGGCTGGTGAAACACGGCAAGGGCCAGAGGGGTGCCGCAGGCAGAGCCTGGACAGAGCTTGCAGAAGGCCGGCGCCCCAAGAGGCAGAGGGCACCGGCGGGGCAGGGCACCCCAGGGCGGGCGGAGGGGCGACCTGCAGGGCACGAGCGGGCGGCAAGACCACAGTCCGTTGTGACAGGGCCGGGCCGGATAGGGCCGCGCCAGCACGGGCGCTGGCGGGCCCCACGCATGGGCGTGCGAAGAAGGCAAAGCTCGAGAGAGAGCTGGAGGCTTGCGGGGGGGCCGCCGAACAGGTGCACGATGAAAAGCGGCCACAAGGGCAGGGAGGTGAGGGCGGCGGGCAGGCCCGGAGCGAGGGCTGGGGGCCTGCGGGGGGGCACCGACTGGGTGCGCGATGTGGGAAAGCCGCGAAGGCAAGGACGGGACGACAGCGGCCAGAGAGGCCACTGCCAAGGCGGGCATGCCACGCTCAGTACAGGACGACGTGATAGGGCGGCGGGCCGAACGCTCCCAGCGGTGGCTGCTGGAAGCTGACCCGTGTTGGCGGGAAGGTCCGTTGTCAGGCCAAGAGGAGTCCGCCGGGCGCTTCCCTGCCCCGTGCGACGGGGCACCCGTCCTTTCTGCCTTTCGCGAGCCGTGAGCTCAGAGCATTGCCTCCGCTTGTCCAGTTCGCGATACCACTCAGCGTGCCCATCGACTTGTACGCCTTTCTTCCAGCAAAGTGCGCGCACGTCGTAGTTGACCTCGCTGAGGTCGTGTACGAAACCTTGGCAGAAGTCAGAGTCGTGACGCTGGGGGTCTTTGGCGGAGTGGGGCCCGGACTCCTGGTCGCAGATGGCATTCCACCCGATGGTCAGCATGGCAATGGGGCCACATTCTTTCTTGAGGCGGTTGATCACCGCTCTCCAGTCCTCCCTTGCAGTGGCTCGGTGGTGCACGGCGGGGTGGGCTCCGCTGAGCCTCGTCCGCGCCACCTTTGGGGTGCGCGTGGGCTACGCTGCTCGCTGGTCCTGGGGGCTTTGCGCACTGGCTCCTCCTCTGCGGTCTGCAAGGCGTTAAAATAAGGATTAATCTGCCACTGTGGCCTCACTCAGCACACACTCACACACACATCCACACATACACACCACACACCACACAGCACACCACACAACACAACACACAGCACACAACACACACCACACACCACACACCACAGACACACAACACACAACACGCAACACACAACCACATAGCACACAGCACACAGCACACAGCACACAGCACAGCGCACAACGCACAACACACAACACACATCCCACAACACACAACACACATCACACAACACACAACACACAACACACAACACAACACACAACACAACACACAACGCACAACACGCAGTACACAACTCACAACGCACAGCACACACCTGACAGCACTCAACACACTACACACAACACACAACCAACACACAACACACAATACACAACACACGACACAGCACACAACGCACATCACACAGCGCACGTCACGCTCCACACATCACACTGCACACACCACACAGCACACACCACAGCACACATCACACAACACACAACACACAACACACAACGCACAACGCACATCACACAACACACAACACACAACACATAATACACAACACAAAACACACCATACAGTGAGGCTCCTGAAATAGGTCCAGTTCGGGTTCGGAATTGGCTCGGTGGTTCCTTGGGTCTGCTGGCGTTCCCGTGCCATTTCGCCGCGAAGCCCCTTCGGCGTTCCTTGGGTTATCGCGCGCGCAATCGATTCGCCAAACGGGGCGGATGATCTAAGGAACGGGGCCCCGAAGGGGGGCAGGGTTCCTTGCGCCGCTGCGAAGATAATGTGCCGCGGGTTCGTTTGGGCCGTTCCTTGCGGCGCGCGTTCTGAGGTTCGCGTGTATAGTAATATATCAAAGTGGTCGCCTTATGGCCCAGTTCCTCGCGCAAGCCCCTTGGTTCCTTGCGCGAGTCGGTTTGAGGTTCACGCGCATGCCAAAATACGGCATCTGCAACGTTAGGGCCGAGTTCCTGGCGCTAGCCCCTCGATTCCTTGCGCGACGCGCTTTGAGGCTCACGCGCGTGCCCAAACATGAAATCTGCAACGTTCGGGCCGAGTTCTTGGCGCTAGCCCTTCGGTTCCTTGCGCGACGCGGTTTGAGGCTCACGCGCATGCCCATATATGAGATGTGCATCGTTAGGGCCGAGTTTCTGGCGCTAGCCCCTCGGTTCCTTGCGCGACGCGGTTTGAGGCTCACGCGGATGTCCAAATATGAAAGTTGCAACGGTCGGGCCGAGTTTTGGCGCTAGCCCCTTCGGTTTCTTGCGCGACGCGGTGGGACGTCCACGTGTATACCCAGATGTAAGATTGCCCACGTTAAGGCCTGGTCTTTCGCTCTACCCCCTCGGTTCCTTGCGCGACGCGCTTTGAGGTTCACGCGCATGTCCAATATAATGTTGGCAACGTTGAGGCCAGGTTTCTCGCGTGAGCCCCAGAAGATCTTCCCTTCCAGATGGGCCCCCATGGGTCCTTCGTTGGAGTCGCGGGGCTGATGCTTGGGGGCCGTCGGGACTCGTCATCCGTTCGCCCAGCTTGCAACAAAGGCCTTGCCGTTCCTTGCGCGACGCGATTTGAAGTTCACGTGAATCCCCAGACAGAGCAGTGGTCACGACAAGGCCCAGTTCCTCACTCGAGCCCCTCAGTTCCTTCCGATCGATGCAGGTCCAAAGTTGGCCAGGGGAGCCGTCGGGGCTCTCTCTCTCTCTCTCTCCCCACTCGTGCGCCCAGTTTCTCAGATGAGCCAAAGACCCAGCCGTTCCTTGCGCGGCGCTCACCAGTGGCGTTTGTTTTTTCCTGTTGCGTGCCGCGGGCGCCCGTTCCTTAGGTCTCGGCAGAGGGGGGGGTCCCTGTCAACACGAGAGGCAACGATGAGGGAAGGCCTCCAAAAAAGGGGCTCGGCCGTTCTTTACATTGTTTTGACAATGGAAAACAGGGCGCCGTTGCTTGTTTAGCGTTCCTTCTGGCAGGGACCCGATTGTACACCTCACGCCACACACAACCCACACCACACAGCACACATCACACAACGCACAACACAACACACAGCACACAACACACAACACAACATACAGCACACAGCACACACCACACAACACACAGCACACACCACACACAACACACCACACCCAATACACAATTTACAGCACACGGCACCCATTATAACATACAGCGTAACACACAGCACACAGCACACGACACACAGCACACAACACACAATACACAGCACACAGCACACACCACACATCACACAACACACAGCACACAGCACACAGCACACCGAACTCAGCACACAGCATACAGCACACCATTCACAACGTACAACACACAATACACAACACACACAGCACACAACACACAACACACAGCACGCACCACACAACACACATCACACAGCACAAAGCACAAAGCGCACATCGCACAGCACACAGCACATAGCACACAACACGCAGCACACACCACACAGCACACAGCACATTGCACACGGCACACAACACACAGCATACAGCTCACAGCACACAGCACACAGCACACAACACGCAGCACGCATCACACAGCACACAGCACACCACACACGGCACACACGACACAACAACAACGACATAACAGACAACAAACGACACACGACGCACGACACACGACGCACGACGCACGACACACGACGCACGACCCCCGACGCACGACGCACGACACACGACACACGACACACGACACGCGACACGCGACACGCGACACGCGACACGCGACACGTGACACACGACGCACGACGCACGACGCACGACACGATACACGACACACAAGCCACAGCACAACACACACACACACACCACACACATAAACACAAAATAAAACATTCCACGCAAGGGACTTTTCCAGAACATTTGTCTCAGGGGCGGCCCGTGCGTTCGCTGGCGGCGCCCGTTGCCCGTGGCACCCTCTCCCGCGCAGCCAGGCGCCTCGTCATCTGCCGCGGTTGCCGCGCGGACCCTGACACGCCGCGCCCCGCGCCCGCCCGCCCGCCGGCCGAACGATTGTGACGACGACGCCGCCGCCGACGCCACCGACGCCGCGCGCGACGGCGACGAAGGCGCGACGCCGACGATTGTGACGACGCCGCGCGCGACGGCGACGAAGGCGCCGCGCCCGACGACGCCGACGATGTCGGGACGGCGTGGCCCGCGGGAGGTCTGGGGCGCCCTCTGCGCGGGCGGCCGCCGCGCGAGCGCTCCGCAGGTGACCAGGGAAAATGACTGGGACTATGGGCCTGTTTTCCACCACCGCCACCCTAAGTTGGAGGGGGAGAGGGTCCTCCTCCTCCGCCTCCTCCTCCTCCTCCTCCTCCTCCTCCTCCCCCTCCTCCTCCTTCCCCCCTCCAACTTGTGTTGGCGGTGGTGGAAAATGGCCCATCATAGGAGTTCGGTAGTTCACCGCCCACCGCACCCGAACCCAACCCGAAGGCCCGGATTTGCCGTCCATATCCAGTGGGGGGTGTCTGGGAACATTGGCGAAAACACAAATGGAACCCGTACCACCCCCCCAACCCGAAATTCGGGTTGAGTTGGGTTGGTTTGGTAGGTAGGCAGTAATGGTGGTGATGATATTGGTGTTGACCTTGGTAATACTAGTAGCCCTTCCTGTTGCTCCCTTTACAGATGTAAGACCAGGCTGCGGTTCGCCGTGCAATACCGTCTGGTTCGATGCGACGTAGTTGCGGGAAGCTGCGCACGTTGCGTGTGCATGAAGGGTGCTGTACATCAGTCATACCCGTGCGCGCTATGAAACATCGGCTTCCGATTTGGATGGGGCTGCGGCTGTTTCAAGGCGAAGTGTTGCCTGCTGCGGAGGCATTTTACCCACATGTTTTCTCCGAGCCCCTGCGGCATACCATTCACACGGAACATCAACTCTGGCACATCTGAGTGATGCATGTTTGGGATATGTTGACACATTTCAACGCTTCAGTATTATCATGTTTGTTTTGTAGGGTTTCAGTCGGTCTTCTGCGCGACGTCAGGGCCATTCGCTGTCCCTGAGAACGTGGCTGGAGTGGGGTTCTGCGGTTCGGATTTTTATTGCGTTGTTGTCGTTGTCCGCGACCCTCCAGCGACCCACCCTGCGACCCAGCCGCGATCCACCCGCGACCCACCCCGCGCCCGCCCTCACACTCTTATCCGCAACTGCGGGGTATTGCCCGCCCCCTGTCTTTTTCGGAAGCGCTTGTGTGGCCTAACGTTTTTGCTTGAGCTTGGCTAAGCTATCGGACCATGTGTTCCCCACGCCGTTATGAAAACCCTTCGGGGAACACGTAGAGGAGAAAGAAAAAGAGGAGCAGAGGGAGGAAACAGGAGACGGAGGAGGAGGAGAAGGAGGTTGTAGAGGAGGGGGACGAGGCCTCTCGGAAGCCTGTTCGGGCACGCTTGGGGCTTCCTGTCAGGCGATCGCAAACATGGATAAGGGGGCGTGGATTAGCGACGGGTCCCGTTTCCTATGGAAATCGATGATTTCCGCCGCCGAAGTGGCGGCACAGGCCGCGTTTTGGGGAGGGTACATCCCCCGATCCATGGATGTGGCCATCGCGCGCCAAATCCATGGATCGCTAATCCATGTTTGCGCGTCCCCGACTGGGGGTCTCTGGGAGGCCTTTGGGAGGCTTCCTTGGGAGCTATTGTGGCCGTCTGAAGGCGTTTCTGGCCCGTCGGACGCCGTCTTGGGGGCATCGGTGGGCCGACTTGGGGCCCTCTTGAGGCGCTTCAGGGCTGTCTTGGAGGCCATCTTGGGCGTCTTGGAGGTTTCCTGGACAGTCTTGCGGCCTTCTTGGGACCGTTTGAGGAGCCCCTTGGGCCGTCAGGGGGCCATCTCGGATGCCTCTTGGGCGCTCTTCGGTCCGTCTTGGTGGCCTCAGGGGCTGTCTTCGGCCCCCCGAATGTTGAACATGAGCAAGTTCCAAACATTTGTTCAATGTCAAGGATCATCGATGAGCGTGGCCTCTTCGGGGCTTCCTGGAGGTCATCTTTGAAGCCTCTTGGGCCATGTTAGAGGTCTCTTGCGCAGTATTGAGGCCATTTGGGTGGCATCTCGGCCCGTCTTGGAGACATCTTGGGGTTATCTTAGGCTCTCTTGGGGCCATCGTACTGTTTTGGAGACCATCTTGGCCATCTCGGAGGCCCTCTTATAAGGCCGCTTGGAGCGGCAAGAGCGGCAACTTGGGAAGTGTGCGGGTTCTCGTCCTCGTGGAGGCGAGTGTTTCGGTTGTTCCCCTCTTTGCGCGTCTTTCCGCAACCTCCTGGGTGGCTGGCGTGTTGGGCCGAAGTCCTTTGGGAACCTTTCAAAATTGCCAACTATAGCCGGAGTGCAGTATCCCCAAACAAGGTTTTTTTTAGACCCACTGCGGTTTCCAAGGTCGATTGCGTGCCCATCCAGTGCGGGCTGGCATGGCATGTTAAAACATGCCTCCTCCTCCTCCTCCTCCTCCTCCTCCTCCTCCTCCACCTCCTCTTCATCCCCAACGGCATCTCGGAGCCCAGAGTTGCGAGGATGTCTCCAGTGTAACGGGCTGGACCACCTCGCGCGCGGCATTTCGGACCACCTCGGGCGAAACGTGCTGCGAGGAAGTCTCAGGCGAAACGGGCCGGACCACCTCGAGCGCGGCGTCAGAGCTCCGAGTTGCGGGGGCCTCCTGGGGCTTCGTGGGACCTCCTGGTGACCTCCTGGGGCTTCCTCCTGGGCCTCCTGTGGCCTCCTGGACCCCACCTGGGGCTTCCTGAAGCCTCTTGGGGCTCCCAGGGGGGGATATCTTTAACCTGTGGCCGTAGGGCCCCCCCAAAATCGGGGAAGGGGGGGGCACAAGAGCAGGAAAAATCCACGAATCGACACTGGATTTGTATTAACTTGACACGTTCTGAAGAGGGCCTCCTGGGGCCTCCTGGGAACCTCCTGGGAATCTCCTGCGGACCCCTGGGGCCTGTCCTGGGCGTCCTGCGGCCTGCTGAAGCTCTCTGGGGCCTCCTGGGGCTCCCAGGGTCCCAGGGGGGATATGTAACATGTGGTCTTCTGGGCCCCCAGGCTGGACCACCTCTTGCGCAGCATCTGAGAGCTCAGAGTTGCGAGAAGGTCTTGTGCGAAACGGGCCGGACCACCTTGCGCACGGCATCTCAGAGCTCAGAGTTGCGAAGATGTCTCAGGCGAGATGGGCCGGACCATTTCGCGCAGGGCATCTCGGAGCCCAGAGTTGCGAGGATGTCTCCAGCGTAACGGGCTGGACCACCTCTCGCGCGGCATCTCGGACCCCAGAGTTGCGACGATGTCCCGGGCGAAACGTGCTGGCGCTGCGCGGAATTCTCCCAGAAGAGGAAGCGGAAACCACCTCGAGCGCGGCGTATCAGAGCTCCGAGTTGCGGGGGCCTCCTGGGGCTTCGTGGGACCTCCTGGTGACCTCCTGGGGCTTCCTCCTGGGCCTCCTGTGGCCTCCTGGACCCCACCTGGGGCTTCCTGAAGCCTCTTGGGGCTCCCAGGGGGGGATATCTTTAACCTGTGGCCGTAGGGCCCCCCCAAAATCGGGGAAGGGGGGGGCACAAGAGCAGGAAAAATCCACGAATCGACACTGGATTTGTATTAACTTGACACGTTCTGAAGAGGGCCTCCTGGGGCCTCCTGGGAACCTCCTGGGAATCTCCTGCGGACCCCTGGGGCCTGTCCTGGGCGTCCTGCGGCCTGCTGAAGCTCTCTGGGGCCTCCTGGGGCTCCCAGGGTCCCAGGGGGGATATGTAACATGTGGTCTTCTGGGCCCCCAGGCTGGACCACCTCTTGCGCAGCATCTGAGAGCTCAGAGTTGCGAGAATGTCTTGTGCGAAACGGGCCGGACCACCTTGCGCACGGCATTTTCAGAGCTCAGAGTTGCGAAGATGTCTCAGGCGAGATGGGCCGGACCATTTCGCACAGGGCATCTCGGAGCCCAGAGTTGCGAGGATGTCTCCAGCGTAACGGGCTGGACCACCTCTCGCGCGGCATCTCGGACCCCAGAGTTGCGACGATGTCCCGGGCGAAACGTGCTGCGAGGAAGTCTCAGGCGAAACGGGCCGGACCACCTCGAGCGCGGCGTCTCAGAGCTCCGAGTTGCGTGGGCCTCCTGGGACCTCCTGGTGACCTCCTGGGGCTTCCTCCTGGGCCTCCTGTGGCCTCCTGGACCCCACCTGGGGCTTCCTGAAGTCTCTTGGGGCTCCCAGGGGGGGATATCGAACATGTGGCCGTCGGGCCCCCCCAAAATGGGGGGGGGGGGGCACAAGATCAGGAAAAATAAACGAATCGACACCCGGATGTGTATTAACTTGGGACACGTTTGATGGGGGCCTCCTGGGGCTCCTGGAGCCCTTTCGTTTTCTTTTCTTTTTTTCTTTTATTTTTTTTTTTTTTTTTGTTTTTTTCATGGGAATCTCCTGCGGACCCTGGGGCCTGTCCTGGGCGTCCTGCGGCCTCCTGGAGCTCTCTGGGGCCTCCTGGGGCTCCCAGGGAGGATATGTAACATGTGGTCTTCTGGGCCCCCAGGCTGGACCACCTCTTGCGCGGCATCTGAGAGCTCAGAGTTGCGAGAATGTCTTGTGCGAAACGGGCCGGACCACCTTGCGCACGGCATTTTCAGAGCTCAGAGTTGCGAAGATGTCTCAGGCGAGATGGGCCGGACCATTTCGCGCAGGGCATCTCGGAGCCCAGAGTTGCGAGGATGTCTCCAGCGTAACGGGCTGGACCACCTCTCGCGCGGCATCTCGGACCCCAGAGTTGCGACGATGTCTCGGGCGAAACGTGCTGCGAGGAAGTCTCAGGCGAAACGGGCCGGACCACCTCGAGCGCGGCGTCTCAGAGCTCCGAGTTGCGTGGGCCTCCTGGGACCTCCTGGTGACCTCCTGGGGCTTCCTCCTGGGCCTCCTGTGGCCTCCTGGACCCCACCTGGGGCTTCCTGAAGTCTCTTGGGGCTCCCAGGGGGGGATATCGAACATGTGGCCGTCGGGCCTCCCCAAAATGGGGGGGGGGGGCACAAGATCAGGAAAAATCAACGAATCGACACCGGATTTGCATTCATTTGACACGTTCTAATGGGGGCCTCCTGGGGCCTCCTGGGAGCCTCCTGGGAATCTCCTGCGGACCCCTGGGGCCTGTCCTGGGCGTCCTGCGGCCTGCTGAAGCTCTCTGGGGCCTCCTGGGGCTCCCAGGGTCCCAGGGGGGATATGTAACATGTGGTCTTCTGGGCCCCCAGGCTGGACCACCTCTTGCGCAGCATCTGGGAGCTC